GCTGGGGCCCGTTGTAAAAAAAAACATAGGTCCATGTCAGATATTACGACTATGACAAAAGCTATGAGGATACTCATGATATGACGAAAGAGATATCAGAATCACAGCATTTCTTTAATGATAATCATAACATCTCGTGACGACCGAAACGTAATCATTGTAGTCATGTGCGCAAAGAGTGTTGAGATTTCGATCGTATGATACTTTGCAGCCGATAGTTCGTTGACATTATGACATTCAACTTGCGACATTTTAGACATATGACAGTCACGACTACAAACGATGCTAATATGATATATATATATATATATATTATATAGTGTAAATAGTATATATATATAGTATATTATAGTATATAGGCCTATATATATATATATGATGCCCATGAAATCATTTCCCCCGGTCACTCGTACTCGCCTTGACACGTACAGGGTCGTTCCATTGATATTGATACACACAGCATATAACCTCAACACTAGAAATATTATACTATATAACACTAGGCTACCCATGGGCATTGCTGTACGACCCTACGATAATGCGCCTACCTGCAGATCAAAAAATAGGCTTACCTTATTGCTATGATATTGAGCACAGTAGCGCTGGGCAACGCGAGATGCAAAATCTACTGGCATTTAAATGTCACAGGAAGGCAGCTGATGAAAACAGAGAGCCGTGGGCGGATTCGCGTGCACAGACCATTTGTAGCTGCTCGCTAATACCGTAGCGCTGGCTTCCTACTACATTAGCTTTCATAATCAGTGCAAATCTGTTGGGTAGCAGGATCGCACAACGCGTTAGCATGAATGATGTAGCTTTGGAGGAAAAGGTCAGGATGTATAATAAGAAATTCACATCCGAATATGAGACGAATTCCGGATACTCTCATTTACCCGGAAAAATGCACTGTGGGAAAGATAATAGATGGATAGATGGATAGATAAATAGATGGATGGATGGATGGATGGATGGATGGATGGATGGATGGATGGATGGATGGATGGTTGGATGGATGGCATTGGATGGAT